TGGGGTAGCGATTGGGGGTAACACGTGGCTCTAACACGTCACTAAGCCTCACAGGTGCTCAAAGAAGGTGGAGTTAGTGCTGTCTGTGCAGCTGAATTCTGACACATCCCAACTCCTGAGGGCTCAACTGAGCACAGTTCCAGAGGTGTTGCTGTGTCCAGCTGCTTCGTGAATGTGTTAACCTTTTTTTGTATTAGTCATTGCTCAGTTTCTGAAGTTTTTAACTGTAACTGAAGTAAGACCTGCACAGCTGAGAGCAGTGACACAACTCACCCTCAAAGTTGTTCAGTATTAGGAGTGTAAACAGGCATAGCACTTGAAAAACTTTCTTTTTATTTAAGATGCATGAATTCTGTTTGTCCAGCCCCATTCATGCAACTTGCACAGTTCTCTAAACCTTCTCTGAATCCCTCCCAGCCACCATCAGCCCAAATTGAGTTAGCCACTGTCTTCTCCCCACAAATCCACCTAGTGATGGTAGAACTAGCACAGCTCTACACCAGTTTTTATTGCATAAGATAAGTCTGAGAGAAGTGGTCTGTCTTGCCACCTATTTTCAGAGGACCTTGTTCACACACTGCAGGGACACCAGCATACTGCTTCACATGCAATACTCTTCATAAACCAATAGACAGAAACTTTTTTTTTTTTTTATAATGAAAACATAGCTGCCTCAAAACTGAAGTAGTATCATGCTGGCTAAAATACCACTAACATCCCCAGCTCTTTTTATTATTAAATGCTGATTCAGCTTTTTGCTGAATACAAGAAATAGTTTAATAATAAAGCAAATTACTGTGTAACATTACTTTGCATCACATTTGCAGCTGTTTCCATTTAACATTAACTTATATTGTGTTCCAAACATGCTCCCACTAGATAAATTATCGCATTATGTGGATTTTCAGATACTGCACTATACTTTTAATTATGGTAACATGTTAGTGCATATGGAGTACAACTAACACTATGAAAACTTTGATTTATGCAGTTAGAAAACACTTTTTCGGAGTAACATCTTAGAGCAAATTTAGAAAACACACTGTTTCACGGTACATGCAAAACCGTCAACTCAATCTTGATTTATTTCCTACAAAACAGATCTAAATAACAGCAATAAATGAAAGAATTTGTTGTTACTCTGTGCTCCAGAACAGCAAAACTCCATGTTTGGAGATGAAACCGTAGTATTAAAATGCATTAGAAGGCACTAATTGTAAGAGAATCACACAAGCATTTCTTAATTAACAAATGCAGCGCTTCATTGACTGGATTGTTTTGATTATTTTGTAAGAAAGATGTGTAGTTCCACTACCTGAATTAAGGGTTTTGCCTACAAAAGCACATTAACTTTGCATTTGGTGGCACTTACATAATTGACGCTACATGAAATATTAGAAGATTTCTATCAGCTGCTGGGTGTTGTTTCCCTCTACAGAAATTTGTGGTATCCTGCAGCTCAAGTATGATACAGTTATTGCGTCATTTGGAGGGTCAGAAATCGGTTTGCAATGTTTTCCAAGACTTTATTATGGATAAAGTTTTACTAATGTTCTGTATGTGACCACACAGAAAACATCATTGGCCCAGACTCTTCCAACAAGTACTGCTACAAAACTGGACTTAACACTACCTTGATATTAACTATATTTCAAATGGTTGGCTCATGTAATTTTGTGCATTTCTATTTACCTTTCAACACAAATAAGGTACTTGACTCAAAGACATTCGTACACACACAGAAAAAAAAACTGACGGCACTGACTTTCTACTCCCTTTTGGGAGGAGTTTGAAGCCAGCAGGCAATTCCAGAACTCCACGGTGCCTGACAGTCACTGCTCTCCCTTTATATGTTATTAACGTCCAGGCCATGCTTCATGTGGAACTGGGATTAACTGCAGAGCTCTTCTGGTTCATAAGAAATGCTGATGAATGGGCACCACCATAAAAATCAAACAACACAAACACATGACTTCCACACTTGCTAGCTTTATGAAACTTAAAACATTTCCAAATGCAAATAAGAAACATGATGGAAGAGGGGCAGGGAGAAGAGGCACAAGGCATGCAATAGAGAATCACATGGTTCAGAGACTCCTTTTGGCACCACTGGGACAGGAAAACAGAATGGCCAGTAATGCTACAGCAATCTTGTTTCACCAAAAAAAGAGTGCAAAAGTCTTCTAATGATATCAATTGAAGTTACAGTTCTCTCCTTTTTCCTGTTCCGGGTGCTGCGCACCGCTGTACAAAAGAGCCATTACTCATGTATGTATACAGAAAGTAGATTTACAACAAGCAAGGTATTTTCTGCTGTGTGTTTCAGAATATAAGAATTCACCTGTCTGTTGCTTGGTAGTGTAGCTAAAGATTACACCACCACACTCTCCTAAACAGAGGGGCTAACCCAGAAACACAATGAATCACTCCTGAAAAGGCAATGACATGAAATCCAAGACCTGGGAGTGACCTCGTGTTGCATTCTACAAAACCAAAGGCAAGGAATAGCTAGTTCCTTAACACGCGTTACAGAACAAAGACAGTTTTAAAAAATTGGAAATGAGCAGCTATAGCAAAAGGAGGATAAACACTGATGATTACACTTGCCAGTAGCACCAGAAAGCTTCTGAAACACCAAAAGAACACTTAAAGAAAGAAGAACAATAACTGAAGTTAAATTTATATCTATTTTCATCAAGTGGGGAAAAACGTGAGCTCAGAGCTCACTGGTGAGAAGGAAGCACAGAGGAAAGGGGAATGGTGAGATTTTTTTTTCTGAAAGATAACAAATTTGATTTAAAACAAACATAGATGATTACACCAACAAAAACAGGCAAGAAACTCTAGTGGCATGTAAGCGTAGATGTTCATCAGATGCTTTGTGGCCTATTTAAGAGTACTTAAGATTCTGGAAGAGCAACTTCTCCAGCATTTACCCTTCTGGAAACATCCACTCTTATCAGACAACTGGTATAGTGTTCTAAACTATGTCAGGCACAACCAATAAATCGAGTTTGTAACTTTCAGAATGGGGCCCTCTTAGGGCAGAACACGGAAAAGGTGTGACTTACTGAAATAAAAACTTGCTATCCGAAGTCAGCTCCTCTCTACTAAGTCACACTGGATCAAAAATTTCAGTTACCAATGGCATTATACAGACCTGACGCAAGAATTACTTTTGTGCAAATATTTCACTTCAGGGGCTTCTGTATCTCTAATGGAATCAAGTCTGTAAGCCTCTTTTCCTATAAGTTGGAAAAGCATGCTTCCAGTATTAACAGAAGCTATCCCAGCCCTACAACAGAAGTCAACAGAAACAAAATACATGAAATAAACAGAGAACCAGTGAGAAACTATTTCAGTTTTTCAAAAAGAAGAAACACTGAAGAATCCCCTTCAGAAAGAAAACAATAGACCTGGTTTAGTTACAAATCACTCCCATCTAAACATCAACATACAAGCACAGGAACACTACTCTTGATGTAGCAACCAGAAACTGACACCCATTAGGCAAATGTACAATACAGACTTTACCGGAAATTCACCTGTAAAGAACCTTTTAGATTTTCTCTACTTGTACAGAAAGGCTGCTCAGGACGAAAGCATCTTTTCAGCAAATACCACAACCTTTTTCTTTAAAAAACAAACAAACAACGCATTCCACACACTTATCTCTGAAAAACACTAGCAAACAACAGGACATCACTTTGATAATTTTTACCTGTTCAATCTAGAAAAGCCTGTATCCTACTATTTATTGTACTTCAAAGAGAGTATCATGGATGCAAGCACCATAGACAGACTTATGGAGGTCATTATCACATAAGCTCACTAAAAAACTTTGTAACCAATCCTCATTTCACTTATTTTTTACCAGCTGAATTTTCGGCCACACACAGATCCAGCACCTTCACCTCCACCCTCTTGGGAAAAGATGTATTGCACACAGAAGAGAGGGAGCTGGGGAGGAGGAGGAAGAATGGGAAAGAGGATCTGGTGTTCACACAAAGTTTTTTCTAATCCAAGTAAGTACGAGCTTGTGGATGTGGGCAAAACAGTCACTTGTTCACACAAGTAAGTGTTCCTGTTTAGCAAGACGCATGTGAGATACTGAGATAGAAAACGTACACAGTGTCCTGTGGCCTGACAACAAGCTAGCAACATAATGCCAGCAACATTACCCACCAATACCAAGTTGTCCTACGGTGTTTCTGCCAAAATACGTTAGGAATAAATAAAGAGAAATGAGGTAGCAGAGAAAATGGAGACGGGGGTCAGAATAAGTTCCTAATATGGCAGAAAGTTACGCTTTCAGGTGACTAAGTGCAGCATAAAGAGCGTCTTCGTACTACCCTAGTACCTTACCTGCAGACAGGAAGGCTGCAAAAATAACAACAGCAGCCAAGCGACTTTCTCCGACACCACGCTCCGTTTTCCACAGCCCCCCTCCCAGCGCTCAGCCCTCCCTCGCCCTGCTCTTTGCGACTGACTTCCAGCAACTCTCGCACCGCCCCGCCCGCAACCGTACACGGCGGCACACGGGCAGCGCGCGGCACGCGATGACCTCCCGCACTCCCACAACACACGCCGCTACCCCTGGCGGCGGACACGTCGGCAGGCCGCCCCGCGCCCCCCGCAGGCCCGCCCATCGCGGCCGGGCCCCGCCGGGGGCAGAGGGGCCCTCGCGGCCGCCCGCCCTCGGACGCGGAGGAACGGCCTCCCCCCCACCCCAGACGGGCCCCGCTCCCGCGGCCGGAGGGCCCCACCGCAGGCCGCGCGGGTAGACGGCCCGTCACGGCCGCCTCCCTCCCATGACACTGCAGAGCGCGGCCCGGCCGCCGCCCTCCGCCGCCGGGGCCTCCTTCCGCCGCTGCCGGCTCCGCGGGCCCTCTCCCGGCGGCGACGGCGCCATGATGATCGGCCCGAGAGGGCGCCGCGCCGGGCCCCGGCGCCGGGCCGGGCCCCGCGCGCCCCGCGGCCTGCCGGCCCGCGCCGCTCACCTTCATGTCGGGACATCCTAGTCCGGAGGCGGCGGCCCAGGCCCGTTCCGGGGCTCCCGCGGGCTGCTTGGGCGCCGCTGCGGCCTGGCCCCCCGCCGCCACCACTGCCGCCACCACCGCCGCCGCCGCGCGCACGGAGCTCCGGTGCGAGGGGAGCGGATCCGGGGGGAGGGCCGAAAGGGGGCAAATATACAAGAGACGGCGAGGAGCCGGCCTCCCTCCCCTCCTCCCGCTCCTCCTCCCTCCCTCCTTCGCTTCGCGGGGGGCGGATCCGGCGGCGGCGGCTTCCCGGGCGCCGTGACACGGTGACTCCGGGCCCCGCCGGCTCCAGGCGCCGCCCCCTGCCCGCTCCCCTCCGCCCCGCCCGCTGCCGCAGCGACGGCGGCGGCGGGACCGCCCGCCTGCGCCGCGCTGGAGCGCTGCCGGCCCCTTCCTCCTGCTCCAGGAGGAAGAGGAAATGCTCTGCCGGGCCCTCCGGCACCGCCCAGCGGCGCCGAAGCGCGGGGCGGCGGTCCTGGTGCTTGCGCTGCCGGGCGCGCCAGCTGGGGCGGCCACCGGGAAGAGTGGCCGGAGCCGGGGGGAGCGCGAGTGCGGATCGGTCGAGGCCTTTCTAAAGGGAAAAGTAGTAATAATGATAATAATAATAAAAGCCAGGACCAGCGCGCATGCTCCGAGCAGGTTTTCCTATCGCTTATTGTTACTCGTTGAAGCAGTTTGGGGAGCTCGCTGTTGGCTGGGAGTCGCAAGGTCGTTCCCTTTCCACCCCTGAACCCCGTTCTTTGGTTCGGGTTCTTTTTTTGATCTTCTGCCACGATCAGGCAGGACAAGCGTGTCTGCCAAAAGTGTGCACCGGCTGGGCCAAAGAGAGGCAGGCCGTATTTGCTGAGTGTCGCTGAAGTCCAGCTCCATTTTTCCATGCACACAGAACTTTTTGTACTGTCACGTTTGATGTCAGTCCTTTCATATAGTCTTGGGATGAGTAGTACATACATGACTTGGCCATGCTACTTCCTGGTTGAGAGGAACGTGGTGTGTACCAAGCAACCTGCTGCCATGCTGCCTTTCTCATCACGATTTTCCTCTTTTTTATACAGATTTCTTCCTGAACAGCACAGTCTTTCCTTCTGTCTCTTTGTACCTGCTTCTCTTTTCCTCTGCATTTTCAGGTCCTACTCTGCTCTGGACTCTCCTCTGTCCAACACCTCCATTTTCACAGAATTGTTAAGGTTGGAAAAGACCTCTAAAATCACAACACCCAACCATCATCCCACCTCCACCAAGCCCACCAACCACATCCACACAGCTCTTGAACACCTCTAGGGACGGTGACTCCCCCATGTCCCTGGACAGCCTGTGTCACTGCCTCACCGCTCTTTGTGAAAAGAAGTATTTCCTCATATCCAACCTGAACCTCCTCTAGTACAACTTGAGGTCATTGCCTCTCATCCCATCACTGTTACCTGGGAGAAAAGGCTGAGCCCCACCTCACCACAACCTCTTTTCAGGCGTTTGTAGAGGGTGATAAGGTCTCCCTTAAGCTTCCTCCAGACAGAACAGTCCCAGGTCCCTCAGCCATTACAGATCCTTCACATCTTTGTTGTCCTCATAGAATCATAGAATCACAAGATTGGAAAGGACCTGCAAGATCATCTAGTTCAATCATCCTCCCATCACCATTACTACCACGAGCTACTAAACCATATCTTTTACCACCTATCCAGACTATCCTCTTGAACACTGCCAGGGACAGCCACTCTACCACCTCCCTGGGCAGCCATTCTAGTACCTAACCGCTCTATGAGAGACAAAGTTCTTCCTTATGTCTAATTTAAACCTCCTTTGGTACAACTTGCGGCCATTTTCTTGGGTCCTGTTTGTTGCCTGGGAGAAGAGGCCAAACCCCTCTTCATCACAGCCTCCCTTCAGGAAGTTGTAGAGTGCAGTGACATCTCTCCTGAGCCTCCTCTTCTCCAGACTGAACAATCCCAGCTCCCTCAGCCGCGCCTTGTAAGATTTGTGCTCCAGACCCCTCATGAGTTTTGTTGTTCCAGATCCTCAATGTCTTGTATTGAGGGGCCTGAAACTGAACAGAGTACTCGAGGTGCAAGCCCAACTGGTGACTCACTCATTGTCCTCCTGCTCCCTGCTCAGGGTTTTGCATCCCACTCCCTCCTCCTGCTGTCCTGCACATTCACCTGCCTATGAAGAAATTCACAGTTCACCCCCAGTTTCCCTGCTGCACACCACATTGTACCACAGCCCACTTATGTCTGCCCTGGTTCTGCAACCCCTGTATGTTCACATCAGTGAACATTCGACCTGTTCTGAGGCCCCCACAGGCCCAAAGGCCAGAAAAAGCGAACTATCAGACAGGGTGAAATGGCCAGTAAGTGCTGAAAGGAAAAAGTGCCAGCCTCATGTTTTGTACCAACCTATGCTAGTCATGTGGTACCTTTGCTTTTCTCCTTCACGTACGTACACACGGAGCAGGCTGCCCAGAGAGGCTGTGGGTGCCCCATCCCTGGAGGTACTCAAGGCCAGGTTGGATGCATTGTGATCTGGTGGCAAGGGGTTGGAACTGTAGGAGTTTTAAGGTCCCTTCCAATCCAAACTATGCTATGATTTCATAATTCTCTGATACTCTGTCTGTTTCTACCTTTGCTTTACCTATCTGCAATGTGATAACTGCCGTGCCTACTGAGAGCATCCACTCTGCCTAAAACAATGCAGCACTCTCATTAGAAACAAACAATACCTCTGCATGAAGAAGCTGAGTACTCTTTTGCCTGAAGAGAGAGAAAACAAGGGGAGAGTCAGTGACATGGCAAAGTCTGCAAGTGAGACACAGCTGAAGAGAAATCTGCAAATGTCATGAATCTCACTAGGAAACTGAAAGGGGCACCTCCAAGCCTGAGTGGGGGGTGAAACTGTGCCCATCTTGTCAGCTTTCCAGAGCAACAATGGGGCAATGAGTCCTGTTTCTACTACTTTATTTTAGCACCAGCAATTTTAAATGCAATTGGCAATCATCTCGCTCCGATGCAAAATACAGACCATCAGCTGCTCTCGGTCAATGCTGCCCTTCAGTTCCTAGAAGAGCCCTGGAGCACACTGCCCTGCAAGATGCTAGCTCTAGTGGCTGGCAACAGCTTGTCAGATTATGCCCCACTCTGAGCACCACACTGCTGCTTGGTTTATGCTTGGTTTTATGCTTTTACCAGTAAGCTGGCCTTCAGCAGAAGGATCTCCCCTCCATATGTCTGTAAAACACAGACTGCAAAGCGGGCATTGCAGGGCACCTGAAGGCTTTGGTTTAGTCTCAGTTTGAAGAGGGCTGACCACCTCATATGTCCACACTCCAGTTACTAGGAGTTGGGCTTTAATCACATGGATGACCCTTGAGTGCATGTGGTCAAGTGTGTGGTAGGGAGCTCCTTTTCACACAGTCTTTCTGAAACATTCCTGTAGCCTGCTAGAGAAAAGCAGAATTATTCATTGCACATATGTAGCAGTATATAACTTGTATGTTGCAGTAATTATTCACTGATTTCTGCCTTAGTGCCTGTGTCTATTCTAAATGAGGCAGGATGGTTAAAACCTTGATACTCTTGGAATAGCACATGCAATAGTATATTAAAATGCACTCTCCTGTATCTTTTAGCAGAGATTGTGCTGGTTATTTCTCTCTTCAACAAATGCAGCACACAAGAGTACAAGACACCCAGGCTCCCATGGGCAGGCACACAGCAGCTCCAGCTGTATGTAGGACATGGCCTAGCAGACAGTCGGAAAGTCCTGTACAAGGTTGTAGTCTTAACATTACCTTGTTTTGTGATGTCCTTGTTTTGAATAATAGTTTTCCATAGAATGAGAAAGAGTTTGTTGAGGTTTAGGAAGTTCTTGTGTCTCTGAGGGGAGAGCCTGCCATAGTCAGGTTTCTCATTCTTTCACATGCAGCAGAAAATTCCATAGGTGAACTTCGCTGTTTTGGTGTGAGGAAAAAATATCAACATATGTGTTTTCCTTTGGGTAAATGCAAGCAGAGAAATCAGAATTTACTTACCCAAGGCCATTCAAGGTCAGAGGCAGGCAAGGGATTAGAAACCCAGATCTGAGAATTAATTAGGCCATTGTGTAAGCCACAGTGTGAATAAGCAAAAAGTCATGAGTTTTCCTAATGTGGTATCATAATATGACAAAATTGATACCTGAAAGCAGCAGCATTCTGGGAAACAGGAAAGAGATGGCTGTATAGCCATGTGCAGCTCCTTGCTTTTCTACTGTAAGGGAACCCAGGACCTGGAAAACAGCAGGACAAGTGCAGGTACAGAACTGAATACTGACATTCCAGGGCAGAAATAAGTGACAAACTGTTACAGTAGAAAACACTTAGTCCATTATCCTAATTGAAATCTTCCACCCCTTTGTGGGCTACTTAAAGCCCACTGAAGTGATGGTTCCACTTATTTCAGTGCTATTTCCACCAGGCTACTACCGTTTGTGTAAGTGGTCTCTGCGTCACTTTGCTGGACTTGTTTTCTGTGAGGCTGGGCATACCACTGTGTGCAACACTAACTCCTTGTTGTCTGTATTGGTCTGCTCAGGGATTCTGCTTCACATGTGGAAGCAAGAGGTGCCATCACTAGAATCATGTCTGACTCATGCCAATCAGTGGTTTTGATCATTCCAGTTGTCATAAGAGACTGTCATTGCGCACACATTCAAATGTTAGCCTTGTACACTGCTGCACATCAAGGTGTCCCACTACTATTTCCTTCTAAGTGCTGCTGTTCTGCCTCCTCTTGCTGAGCAGTCATCCCACGTTGTGCCAAGCTACCTACTGTCTGTGCTCAGACAACGTCAAAAGACTTTGCAATCAGAAGAAAATAGTCTTGCTGCTTTCTAATTTATAAGGTAAGGCCTGAAAGAGCTTTGCATACATGCTGTTTTGTTTTGGATTTTGCATCAAGCACAATTATTCTGCCATAGTAATTTCCCAGAAAATGCGAAGAGTCTGGGAATCCTATAGATGGAAATGATATTTCTACACAAATGTCCATGAAAAGATCCTCCTTCCT